AAGCTGCGGATTTCACGCGCTCAAACACTATCAAACTGACAAGATCTTTCACCGTCTATAGCTGGGTACCCATTTCCACCTGGGTGAAGTGAGGAAAATTTGTGCAAAGTGCCTTTCCCAAGGACACAACGTCGGGCCCCTGACGGGATTCGAACCCACGACCTTATGGTTGCGAGTCCGAGAGCCTAACCACTAGGCCATCGACGCCATAAGAAGATTACTCAAGTATTTCAATATACACTTTCATTATATCATTATCATTATTATTAACTTGGATTCCTAAAATTTCTGTGCTTTACTGTGTTTATATATATGCGTCACCACATGTTGGAAACAGGCACTCATTAATTTTTTGACATACAGTGAAATGTGAGACGTGCTGACAAAATGAGTTACTTCTCATAATCCACAAATGGAGATATTGGCCACAAATCGACACTAGGGTCAAATTTGTAGATTTTCCATTGGTTTCTTCCATTTCATTATATTGACAAGTGCCTGATTTCACCATCAAATGCTCATACGACCTTATGTAGTTGTCAGCGCAGTAAAACTTTTATCCCCCCTCCCCATTAAACCTCGATGCCAACCATTCTATAACTTAGATTGCTTCAACTTCAGTTTTTCAATGTATTTATATTAATAAGACTTGTATCAATCAAACACTAAGAAATTGATAAAACTATGCTCAGAGCTTGTTACCCGATGGGATTGAGTGCTTCATGAATGCTATTTATTATCTTAAATTAATATCGCCAACAGTAATTATAGGAAAACGCGCCAATGAATGCCAAATTGGCACATCTTTTAGATGCATTAGCCTCACTGAGGCAATGCTTAATACCGAACAGTTAAAATGCCTCTGTATCCCTTGCTGTACCACACAAACACACTTTCCATGTAAAAATTCCAGATGCACACTTTTCATGTCAAGTTCCCAGCTTCTTGTACTGGGTAAGGCATGGAAATGTGGTCAAACCTGTCCAAGACAACCATCCATTGTCCAGGAGAAACTTGGCCCTCTTAGATGGGTGGTCCTCTTGGATAGTGTTATTTTGATATACAGAAAAAAAGAGGCAAGAAGGGAGGTGAGAAGTGTTTTGTTTGTACAGGTGATTGTTTTGGACAGGTGGTCGTTAAAGCAGGTCCGACTGTAGTAAAATCTCACTTAACCCTGTACTCTATCCGTATGCCCTGGGGTCATTTTGTACCCCAGGGGATGTATTCTTCACATTTTAGAATACTTCTAGTACGAAGATCTCTTTGAAACTTTCAGTATTTCTTTTTAAAAAATCGTTTTGACAGACTGCTATGAAAAGCGTACGGGTCGGATTTACGAGTAAATTTCCTCTTTGGAAAGTGGTGGCACAGAGTTCCCCACATCATGCGGATACGATAGTAAAACACGATGTACCGATAGGGTTAAAATCCTATACTGCTAGAAACCGCTGACGCTGTATTTTCCTATACCTCGGGTCAACTTTATCGTTTAATTCCTGGTGCTAGAAACAAGGGATGTAACTTCAGATATCTCTGTCCCGAGCAGAAAGTATCAATAATGTCATGACAGCAGTTCTTAAAACAGTTGGGAATTTTCCCAACATTTTTTTTTAATGAGCGACTTTTCGCTGCCAGTCCCATCAGGCCACAATATTTTTGACATTTTTTATCCTAAACCAGACCCAGATTATGATTCCCAGTATATATCGAGATATGACTTGTCATGTGAGTTTGATTTCTCAACTATCTTTGTCTTTTTACTTGTGGATGCTGTTTCCCGCTCAGTCCTAGTTGGCCTTGACAGGACTAAATATGCTAGATCAGGCAATTTCCTGTTTGCCAAAAGTACAGGACAATCCTTGGGTATCTGCAGCAGTTGGTGAACTTGGGAGAGTGTGCTACAGTACAGTTTCAGACTTGTTTTTCTCCTAAACCCCCGACCCGAGACTCCTAATCTTCTCTTTGATGGGTCAAGGCGGTCTAACCCTTGGCGGTCACCACAGAAGGAAGGAGAGAGAGAGTCTGGCTTTGGGG